TATTAACAGTCTCTCACACTGACCGTGTTTCCTTTGAGGAAGGCAACACACCACACTGAAGAGCTTGAGGGACAGGAAGAGAAACAGGATTTGCAATGGGTCTGACAAACATGTCCAGAGCAGTCCAGTTCCTTATCAGTTTGGCAAGCCAGTTCCTTCCACTCGCCAGCCTGGACCAAGCTGGTCTTCACCGAATCCCAGCCCCTTGGGGAAGGGCTTTCAGTAGTGAGAAGGGCTAGGGAAGTCAGCCAGCAATGTAACCTTTGGGGCTCACCCTCCCTCCCTACCCTATATTCCCTCCACAAATCATTACCCATTAAGACAAGCAGCACCACAGAGTTTAAAAGATATATCCCCACAGCTCAAAGTACAAACAGAGCGTCACTTACCCAGGTAAATGTCTCCAAAGGAACCACTCCCAATCTTCCGGCCCAGCCGGTACTTGTTCCCCACTCGGAGTTCCATCGTTCAGCAGCACTGAGAAAGGAAGCAAAGGAAATGCAGAGTCAGAGCAGAAACAGGAAGCAAGTGCCTCAAATGTGATGGCATGAGAGACCTGGGGTAATGGTTAGTCCCCTTCCTTAGGACAGAAGCTTTGCAGGAGTCAGGCTTGGCATCCTAGGTGATTATGTCAGAAATGCCACATCAAAAAACCCCGGAGTCCATGCCTTGTCCCACTCAAGGCCAGCAGGAGCTGGGGATGCTGCAAAGGCAAAACCGAATCTCTATCAGTTTAGGGTTCTGTATTGCCACATAGAAGAACTAAGCTGGACGCCCTGCTCCATCATGCCTTCAAAGAATTGGGCAGGAAAAAAAAAAGGAATATAAAGAGGGTTTGGGCAGTGTGGAAAGAAGCAATATTAAATCACCAGGACCAGCCTCATACATGGCAGCCTAACGTAACGCAACCCTGGAAGGTTCTAGTCTCAAAACAGACGCCAAGATGGAAGGGGTGCGAGTCCCCTGCCCTAGCCCGGATTCCCTGTCAGCAAAGGGCCTGGCACTGCTGTGGCAGTTACACCCTGGAACCAACGGCTCCACGAGCCTGAGCTCCGCACAGGGCCGGCAGTCCTACCCCTCTGCACAGGGGACGGGGGGCACAGAAAGAAAGGAAATGTTCCAAAAACCAGAAAGCCAATATATTTTCATGTTCCTGCACGTTTCCACACTGGAGATCATGGTTTCCATTACCCTGGTAGATCCCTTGGCCTGCATTAAAGTACACCAGGGTGGGTTTCCTTCACAGCTCAGCCCTCCTCCATTCTTTTATGTGGTCTAAGTACGTGAGTACTAAGTACGTGCAACCCCTTAAAAATGCACGCAGAGCCCCCCTAAAGGACGTTACCCTCAGCCGAGTCATTCTTCTTGCGTTTCCTTCTCGGTGGAGGGCCCATGACTCCAGAACTTGCTCCCACCAGAGACCCAGCCCCAGCCTTACCACCTTAGGGTGCGCTGCAGGACCCATCTCCTTGAGCAGGCCTCTGCCAAATGGTGACCTAAAGGTTCCCCAGCAATTTTACCCTGGATGGTCACAACCTGGAGTTTTTCCCTGCTCAAGTCCGAGGAAGAGAGAAAAGAGCTCTTTTTAGAGGATCCTGCTGTATTGCTAGTTTGTGTAAAGTTGCATGATTAGCATACAGAAAGCAGACTCCAAGTCAATGGGGAACAAGCACCTGGGAAAGGTGGGGAAAGTGATTCAGAGTTTCAAAACAAGACCAGAGGAACTTTCCCCTGCTGAGGCCCAGTGGAGAAAAAGTATCTTTGAAGAGGGGACTGGCTCTGTTGCTGGGAGACAAAAATAATCCCAGCAATAGGGTTCTGAGCACACTATCAGCCTAAAGCTAGAGCTGCTTCTCCTGCCCCAGGAGATGGGATTACAGACAGAAAAGCGGTTGGGCTGGAAAAACAGGCAGGAAAATAATCCCATCAAGGCATTCAGGGGACATCATGAACCCTGAAAGATGAGCTCCCATCACCAGAAGCTACAAACACACACACGTACACAAACACCAAGAGGTGGAGTCCCCTTGTCCAATATTTGCCGATGTGCACAAGTTTCTCCCCATTTAGAGATTATAAAACCCTTATGACTTGTGGAATAAGGTGCATAAGCAGAGAGCCCTGGGAACAAAACCACAAGGAGTGTGAGAGAATTTTATCAGAGAATCAGGCAGTGGGGTCTGTCACCCTATGTAACATACTTCTGGCTTGATCGCCCTTCCAATACCTAGACCTTAGCAACCTGTAGCATCAGTGACAGCCTGGGGCCAGGGCCTGCGAAGGCAGATGTTGGCCAGGCCTGGCATCCTAAGGGTTAGCACACTGCCCTGGTGCCATGTCTAATACTGATCACCAAGGCCTAGCAAAGTTCCCGCATTTGGGCCCCAAAACTTGGAGAGTAGTGCCCCACGTTGTTATGCCGGAAACTGCGCTGCCATTCCCAGGCTTGAATCCCAAGAGCAACTAAAATTCCCACCAGGGCTGAGCTCTGTGGCCTCTATACCGAAACGAATCTATCCCCTACCCTGGAACTATTCCATGCCCAGTTCTAGTTCTTTTACCTCCTGGGACAGACTGAGCAAAGATCAGGGGTACCCCACACAGCTCTGCAGCAAGGAAAGAGGCTACAAAGGGAAATCCAAGGAGACACACTCAGGTGGCTTGGCAAGTGGTACACAAAATAATAGATCATGATCATGCTTCCTACTGCGACTCCCACTAGTACAGCTTGGGAGGCAGAGCCCTAGAAGGGGCACAGTACAGGGGAGCACTGAGACAGCAGAAGAATGAACTCACTGCAAGGGCCAAAACTTATGCTTACCCCAAGACCTGCTCCAGGCCTTAGAAGATTTACCAGCCCTCTCCTGCCCTCCCCACCCCTAGTAGTTTCCATTTTCATCCCAACCTTCAGGTGCGTCTTTAAGAAAACAGCAACAAGGAGACCCTTACCCCACCTACCCTGCTGTCAGGCCTGTGCTCTCCAACTCGCAGGGCTCACAGGACAACCATTTAGTTTGTTACATCCTTTGGTTTTCCATAAAGGATTCACACCCCCACTTCAAGTATGCGGTCTGTTGGATTATATATGTATATTAATATCCCCATTACACATACACACACACCTACAGCACACCACACAAGCTTAGAAATACTACACTGCCATCAGTATTGTGTGCGCACAGAGCTATGCACCAATCCTACTTTATATTATATAAATACACATGTAGACACGCACATTGAGCCTCACATTAAAAAACCCATGACAGACAGACGCACAGACACACAATCAACCTCCTCACATGTGTGACAGCCCAGAAACTAGCAAGGAGCATGCAATCTTTTAAAAATAAATAAATAAATAAATGGACCCCCCCCCCCCAAAAAAAAAATTGCGAGGAACCCAGAGACTCCACAAGCCCAAAGAACGAATATTGAGTAAGAGTTGGCCAGCTACATAATGGAGGCTGCTGGACAGAAGGGAGCCCTGGCAAGAAGGGGAAAGTATGTGTGTAACCAAGGCTGCCTTGTCTGTGGATTATTAAGGATTTACACCTGGCTTTTTCTTAAAAGAAAGCAGGGTAAGGAAACAAGAGGACAGAATTTAAAATGGGGAGGGGGGAGGTGTATTTAGCTTTGAATGCCAAACAAACAGAGGCCCTGCTGGCCCCCAAGCCCCCTCCCGCAGTTCCAAAAGGAAGAAAGAAGCAACACACACCAATACAACAAACGCATACAACACACCCGGACAGTCAAACAAACAAAAAACCCTACAAAAATTTAAAAAGGGGGGAAAAAAGGAATAAACAAGACAGCTAAAAAGCCCTTGCTACCCCCGCCCCCCCACAGCTGCAAAACAAAGTCACAGTCCACCCTGGGATTATTTTTCTCCTTTT